GCAGCATCATAATGCAACCATGCAGAGCCGATCTATTCATATATTGTTAATCGTTGGTAAGATCTCTAGTCAGGCTGTTTCAAGAGAATAAGCCTCATTTGTCTATCTTCTAGAAATTGAAAATGAAATACTTAAATATATATGCCTGTATTATCCCATTTGAACGAAATAGACTTACTACACAGCCTTCATCGCATGAGCAGCAGTGTTTTCTATCTTTCGACACTAAGTTTATTCTTTCTTTTTATATATATTGCTATCAATATATATGCAAATATGAAAACTCACTGCAACAAACACGTAACTCTAATTCCCACCATTATCTCCATTTTCTCAGCTACCTACAATGTTGCGTATTTAATATATTTTCAATATTGGACATTTTCAAATATTCAAGTATATAATTTTGTTGTTGAGTCGAAGGCCCGAGTAGCTAGCACTCGTTAATCTAATATTAAGTTTAGTAGATTTAACTAGCAAAAAAAAAAATATATTTTTTGATTTCTCTTCAACATTTCATAGGAAATATAATAGAATCGGATTTATTATTAAAAATTGTTGAAATTATATAAATTATATATATATATTTTTTGCTCTTATTTTTAAAGTTTTCTGTGTATGGTTTTTGAACTTCAATAAATACATGTTAAAAAAATTTGCCTTTTCTGTATTCTGTATTTACGAATTTTTCGCAAACTGATGATATATATATATATATATATATATATATATATATATATATATTACAGCAATACATATGTGTATAATTCTTTATGCATTTGAAAGTTTCCATAGACTGTTTGCTCACATAGTTTTTAGTCGCACATTGAATCGAATTCTAAGTATATTTATCTTAAACTTTAGCATCTAAAGCTTAACGTTTACTTGAAGGTCATCCTAAAAGTATGCCTCAAATTCCAGAGCTACTGTTATCATATCAATGGGGCATTCTTGCATTGTTTAAACCCATCAATCGTATCAGCACAGCTTTCATTTGGACTTAAAAGATAAGCTGTTGTGGGTGTTAGTGTTGTTGTTGTTATTGCTTTTGTTGTTGTAATCTGATATGCTAGAGCCGGAATGCGAGAAATGGCTTGCACGCCCCACTGAATACCCACAAATAACTGCAGGCGAAATCTAATTAACACTAATCAAGGCGTAGCAGTGGCCGGAAGTGGACTTCCCAGCTCAATGCGCTCCATTCAACGCGATTTCCGCCGTGCAAAGCCAGCCAGGACACGGCACTCGCATCAATGGCGGCTAGCAAACGGACGCGAATGTCACGAGTGGCGAGCAAACGCAAAAACATTTCATTAGAGCAAAATTTGCGATGCTTTCTCTTCATCGCTGCTAATGAGAAACTTGCCGCGTGTCCTTGCCAACACCAACACTTTGCAAGGCGGCTATGTGAATCCTTTTCATGACTTGTCGTAGCCGCCAGCAAGCTATGAAGAATGAAATAAAAAAACAAAAATAAAAAACCTAAGGTAGCCGCGGCAGCAGCTGGCAAAGCGGAAGAAGATGCGCTGCCATTCTCAATTGGATTTCAGGCACCGGAAATAACGTTGAAATTAATTAAATTTAGATGGAAAAAAAGAAGGGGAGAAAACGAGGAAAAAAATTGTATCTTAGAAAAAAGTCTGCTGAGTCGTGCGATGTCAAAAATGCACGAATACTAGACGCTGATTTCAGTCCTTGTTGCTGTTGCTATTGTTGTTTGAGTTTTCCTTGCCCTCGATTTGCGTGCATATGAATAACAAATGTTGCCACAGGGTTTTCCTTTCGGCGTCTGTCAAATATTAAAAAATATATAAATCATAAACAGATGACGCATTTGCGCTTACGTTTTTCTATTGCCACTTGCATGCCGCGCATTATTTATTCATAATTTCTTTTTATTGTGTTTTATTTGCCAACAAAAACACAAAACAGCCATACAGCCAGCCAGAAAGAACCCCGAACTTTACGACAGACAGTTCGTCATTTGTCGCTCTCACGCACAACAAGACGTATACGTCACGTGCAGCATTCTGTTCTACTCTTTAAAAAGAGTGTTGTAGCTTTTGAAAGATCTGTGGAGCACATAGAATGAAGCACCAGATATTCCATAACCAAAACTATTGTATTGTGATATCTTAATCGGATCTTCTCATGAGGTTACTACGATAAGTAGATCGATTATATCAATAAATCTATCTGTCTTTCATCTGTTTCGATAGAGCAGCTCAAGTTTATGATGAGATTTAAATAAATAAACTAAAATTGAATAAAAATGATAATAAATAAATATATAATTAAAATAAAAAATAAAATACTAGAAGTTGAGAAAATATTAGAAGCTTCGGAACAATTCTCATTCCGAATTCTTATATTTTGGCAATATGAAACATTAGTATACGTACTTGTTAATTATGAAGAGATTATATTGAAGTAGTTTTCTCGTTCTTAAGATTGTTATAATTATTTAAATAACACTTTTAGAAATAGTATTAATATCGGAATATACATCTGAATTAAACAAAATCGGCTACCACAGCAACAATTCATAAAAGAGTTTCTTGAAAGAAACACACTTTTTAGTTTCTGATTCAACAAATTGACTATATAATTACATACATGTGCTTATATAGTTTGTATGTGATAGAAATAGTAAACAGAAGAGTACAAACTTTACCTAAAAATCAAGATTTCGTCTTTGGGCAAACTATTGGCAAACTGACAAATGAGGATGTTTTCAACTTAATACAATTTCCTTTGTAGATTTGCAATGTGTTGGAAGGAAGAAAAAACGAAATTATAAGTTACATTTTTTTTAATATTATAATTTTGTCTTTATAGAAAACAGACCAGAAAGTACTTACAAATGTAACATTATTATTATTTTTTAATAAATTGTAAATTGATTTCCGTTTTACGCAAGGAACCATTTAATTCACCAAACTATATTTTTGGCAAGTGTATTTAAAGTTCGGCACATTAATGCTATTCCATGTTGCCGTTTATTTATATTCTTGCTCGCTTCGCTTTTTTACGCTTGCCTGCCTAGCTCAGCGCAATCAGTTGACACTTCCTTTAGCATGTCGCCCCTTGTTCGTCATCGTTGTTGTTGTTGTTATTGTTGTTGCTTATTCTGCAAATTTGTATTTCTTGTACAACTGTCGGCCGACTGGAGCTACAACAATAAGAGCAACAACAACCATTGGAGTTGTGGGCGGACACTACAGCAAAAAGTGCCGTTACATGGAACTGTTTGTCGTTCTGGCACTCACTTCTTCAGCTGGTCCTACCATTGTTGTTGGCGTCTCATCGTCACACATGTCTCGTTCCTTTACACTCCACTGATTGCCTGCTGCCTCTCTCTCTCACCCTCTCTGTCCCACCCCACACAACCCAACTAAGCAGTTGTCATCAACAGTCAGCGGCGGCAGCGCATAAGCGACGTCGCCAATGTCTCAGCAATGCAATCATTGTCATTATCATATGCGTCATGACGTTTTGACGACGTCTGTCAGTCTACTGTGTACATATAGTACATACATACATACATATGTATGTACACAAAATTGTGAAACCTGCCAAAAACAGATAGGCAATATACTATTTGCAAAGTCAAACTTTTATCCGGTTTCAAAAACATTTTATATATTAAAATGTTAATAAACAATATTTTAAAAATAAAAAAAAATAAAAATGGGCAAAAAACAAGTGTTAAAAAAATAAAAGAAAACTCATTTCACACTAGCAGAGCAAGGTTTCGATCCTCGGACCTCTGGGTTATGGGCCCAGCACGCTTCCACTGCGCCACTCTGCTTGTTATTTTCCGCTTGCCAAATATGCTACTAAACCTACAAGCAGTACACACAAGCAGTCGTATAAGGCATCGCACGTGTTTTGCGCTCAGTTATTGAGTTATACGTCATGCGTGTCTTTGGTGACGTAAATTTGTATATCTGTGCTGTACATACATATACATATGTATGTATAAATGTGTGTACAGAAACAAGAGAAGCAAAGCAACAAAACATTATATTTCTAGACTATATGAACTAAAAATGTGATTTGTTGTCATCATACTAGCAATTGAAAACATGCCAAATATTTAAATTCGGGTCTTATTCAAACGAAGAGAAAATTAATAATTTATAAAATACAGTGACTAATAAGTGTTAATTGTGTTGCTAAGTTAAAAAAAAACAGATGGATTTGATTTCACAAATTTGTTACGTAATATACATATCTACATATTTGTATATTTTTCATAAATGTATTTAGTTCTTACTTTAATTTAATAATTTGATTTAAGAGTTGTAGTAAGAGTCAAATTGAATTTATTTAATTTATAATAAATTCAAGAGTGAGTGTCCATACCGGCCATAGCAATATTTTACATATTATTTATTTGTTGTGTTTGGTGCGCGCGCATTGCGCACTGCTTGTCGGCAGCCACGAGGCCTTAGTAGCGAGTTTGGCAGGCAGAGCCCAACAAGCAGAGTGGCGCAGTGGAAGCGTGCTGGGCCCATAACCCAGAGGTCCGAGGATCGAAACCTTGCTCTGCTATGTGAACAAGCGCGTCGCTTACTTTTTTTTTTATTTTTTGAGAAATGATTGGTTTCTTAATTTTTATTTTTTTGAGCCTATAAAGACATTTTTTGTTTATATTGCTTAGTGGTGTGGCAACAAATTGTACAATGTCGGGCATTGTGACAAATTTAATATGTTTTTTTTGAGTTAACAAAAATTGCCGAGAAATAATTTAAATTTATCTGTATAGTATATAGTGGATATACGTTTCTGGAATTGTGAAATAGTATAGCCTTTATGAATAGCACATGCATGTATGTAGGTTGAAAGTTTTTTTTAAAGGTCAATAAAAATGTACTATAAGATTTAACATTTTCGAGCAAAACTGTGTATAATTTTATTGACAAAACTGTATTTTAATTTGTTTTTATTATTTCTTTGATTCTATTTATTATAACTAATTATAATTATAAGCGCGATTACGATACGGAAATGCCCGCCGTACTTGATATCCAACTTATGTAGGACAGTATTTTCGTATAAATAATCGGGGTGCGGGACATGCAGCCGTGCTGGTTGGCAAACGAGGCGATGCCCACGAGCAAAGTGTCGTCCTGGAGCACCATGGGACTGCCAGAGTCGAGGCGGCAGGTAGCGCCCTTGTTCGGGGGAAGGCCGCACAGCATGCCCTCTGAAATAGCTTTGCCATAGCGCGTCTTAAAGCAGACCTCGTTGGGCAGCACCTGGATTTGTGTGATGTGCAATTCTTCGGTGCTCTCCTCAGTCTCATTGTGAAGGCCCCAGCCGGCCGAGAATGTCCACAATTCTGCGACATCTTCATCATAAAGTGAAGTTTTGGGCAATGTAACGGGCTTGATGCTTCGCGAAAAAGACAAAGCCGGTACTTGTATGAGTGCAATATCATTCCGATATTTCTTCTTATCGTAATGGTCATGCATGTGGAAGGCCCTGCTGGTGACGTACATCACCAACTTAGGCTTCGAACGCTTCGTTGCGCCGAGACTAATTTTGACGTAATCGGCGTAAGTGGTGCAGGAGGCGGTGGTCAAGATCCAGCCCTTTGATAGGATAGTGCCAGCGCAGAACCATTTGTGGGACTGGGTCGAGAAGAATAGGGCCGCAACATATGGCATCTCATTGTTGTTGGAGGGATACCCGCTGTCGTAAGTGTTCTCCTCTGGCTTGGAGAGCGGCACATTGCGGACCAGCACTGGTTTCAGTGTCTTGCTCGGCTCGGTTGTCGTAGTTGTCGGATCTGGCGCTACAGTCGTCTCAAATGAATTTAAAATCGGCGCAGCCATTGTTGTCGATAACTCCACCACCTTTAGTGTACTTTCCGAAGTCTGCTCCTCCGTCTTACTCGTAAGGGTTGTTGCCTCTGAGGTGGTGGTGACATTCTCCTGCTGTGCGGCCTCTTCGGTCGCCCCGAACAATGGAAGGCTAATAATTAACAGCCATTTACCGATGTAGTGCTTAGCTATGAACATTATTGTATATGAGCGAGCTCGCATTTCAGTACGAGCTATATATAGGGGCTGCAGAAACCTATTCTAATTGCCAGTAAACTAAACAAACAGTTGGCAGGAAAAATACTAGCAGTAAGCAGATGCCTTTGCATAACTCCCTAGAAGTGGAAACACAATGCCGGTACGGCATTTACGAGTATTTGCCAATTCACGTTTCATTCATAATCTATGACTACATTTAAATGTACTCCCAATTTAATGAAAACTCATATTTTATAGTATGGTAAAGAATTATTTATAGATACTTCAATTTCTGAAACGATTCTCTCAGGGCCATATAATATACTTCAAGGTAGGTTAATTTTAAAAGAAGGTTTACAAATTTGACACTTTTTTTCCTTCTTCAAATCCCAATAATCTGTAATATAAGCCGATCCATAGAGAGAATATTTGCGAAACAGATCCGCTTTTGTTATTTTATTTTAATTTTATTTGTGGCAACCCTGACAATCTATAAAAGAAAATCGATCGTTAAGGAGTACAAAAATCCTTAAAAATTATAAAAATAAGTCCGAGTCGTTTTATTTAGTCTTGTTCCTTCAAATCAGAGAACAAAGTATTCAGCGACAGTTCTTATAGAATCTTAGAATCGTTTTCGTCTAAAGAGAAACACAAGATTTTTAAAATGTTTTTTTCTCTCTCTTCTTAAGCTGTAAGCAATAAACGGCTACAACGATTTGTCACTTATAAGTGATTTCTCTAATTTTCTATTGTAAGGTTTTCAATCGTAGTAAACTTTGAAAAAGTAAAGCCAAAAAGTTTTGTATGAATTCAACTTCTTACTGAAAAATAAGAATAATAATTATTGGCTGAAATGGAGGATACTACCGCTCCTTTACACACTTGGAATATTGAAGACATTTGCGAGTATCTGGAAACCGACTTGACCACCGTGAGTGAGAAATGCTGACGCAAACAAAGTCTAATCGTGATTTGGTGTTTCTAGGGCTTGAGTTCGGAAGTGGCACGTGAGCGCCTGAAGGAGAAAGGTCCAAATTCGTTTACTATACCAGAAGAGGGCTCGAAGCTTCTTAAGTATTTTCGCAACTGTTTTTGGGGCTTCAATATAACAACTATTATATCCTGTATAATTTCTTTCCTCATTCATTTTATTGAGCGTGCAAAAACGGAGATTTACGATCCCACCTATATGGTAACTGGAATAATACTTTATATTATTTTCCTCTTCTCTGGCGCTGTGCGATACTTGCAAGCCAACGATGATTACGAAGTGGCCTACACATTCTCAACATTCTTGCCCGAATACTGCACGGTCGTCAGGAATGCGGAGAAGGTTATCATACACAGCTCAGATGTGGTCGTCGGCGATATTTTGCTGCTCTGCTATGGCTTACGGATTGCAGCGGACGTTTGCATCTTCGAGGCGGACAATCTGGTTGTGAATAATGTGACATTGAGTGGATTTTCCGTACCCATCGAGCTGGATCCGAGGCTGGTTCACAGAGATAAATGGGTTAGCCGAAATGTCGGCTTCGCCTGCAGTCATGTGATCAAGGGCCGCGGAAAGGGCATAGTGATAGCGTGCGGGGATGATACGGAGGTGGGCGTTATGGCGAATCTTAGCTTGATGCCACGCCCTCGCAGCCGAGCACGGAAGCATATCATTCAAGTGACGGTCTTCACACTCTTCGTGGGCATATTTATTAGTTTCTGCAGTTTGTTTGCCGTCTCGTTTATTGGCCTACCCTTGGAATATACGCTGCTCTTCATTAATGGCTTGACGATCGCATCCTCTCCGATGATGTTGCCCACACTTATGTATTTCTCCATGAAACACACCAGAAAGCGTATGCTCACCAAAAACTGCTATGTGCGGAATCTAGAGGCCACATCGACCCTGGGCCTAACCTCAGTGATTTGCAGCGACATGGTCGGTACGATGACCCACAATCGCATGCGTGTCTCTGAAATTTACGTTAATAACGAGCTCTTCATGGCTGAGGACACCAATTGGGGGGAGGTGAAGGTGAGCGAGCGATTCAAAGAGCTGATGCGAGTCGCGGTATTGTGTAACGATGCCAGCGTGAATCCGGGAACTAACGGTATGCCCTTCTTAAAGAAGGGTATGAGTGGCAATGACTATGACATAGCAATTTTAAAATTCTCCATACACTTCATCTTTGACATCGACGTGCTGCGTCGCTCCCATCAGCGGGTCTTCAACAAGCCCTACAACAGCATGGATCATTTGCATATAACCATACACAAGACAGTCGATGAGGATGACACCGAGGTGTATGTTATGCTCCTGAAGGGTTACTTCATCCTTGTGTTGCAGCGCTGCAACACTATTGCAGTCGACGACGAAGAGATCCCTTTGGATGAGATGTTGCGAGATAATATTGTGAGTGTGGGCCACAGGCTGCAGAATGATGGCAGGCGGGTGTATGCCTTTAGCTATAAGGAATTATCCGGCTTGGAGTACCGGCACTATAGAAAACTGATGCGCATGCAAAACTCCGAACATAAACCAATCGATTGCACCGACATGCGATTCGTTGGCATTATAGGCGCTCACGATCCACCTCGAGCCAATATCGGTAATGCGGTCGCTCAGTGTCGTTCCTCGGGCATAAAGCTCGTCCTTATCACCCGGACTCACGTCCATTTCGCCAAGGCTGTGGCCAAGAAGGTGGGCGTCATTGCCAGCGACAGCGAAACGGTCGAGGATGTGGCCCAGCGCCTCAACATATTCGAATGGCAGGTGCCCAGTGATCTGGTCACAGCGGCGGTCATAAATATGGCCGATCTGGCCCACCTAGACATCAATAGTCAGCGGATGGAGATACGGAATCGTTTGCTCTGCTACTCTGATTTGGTCTTTGCTGCCACCAATCTGAAGCAGCGCCATATGATTGTCGATGTCTGCCAGGGCATGGGGGCTGTCGTCACAGTCATCGGCAGTGGGGTGCACGACACGCCCGCCATTCGGAAGGCGAATGTGGGCGTGGCCAAGGGCTTATCCTCGTCCCATGCCTCAAAGGCCTGTGCCGATGTCATTCTAATGGACGACAACTTTGCCACAGTGGTGAATGCCATCGAGGAGAGTCGTCTGCTCTTTGAAAATCAGAAGAAGGCTCTCTGCTATATCCTTTCCTCGAACATGCCCCAAATTCTGGCCTATTTTCTGTTCATTTTGTTGACCATTCCGATACCAGTGTTCATCTATGTGTCCTTCATTATTGATATTTTGATGGATCTGGTGGGTACTGAACAGGTGTTTAGCCTGATATGTAGAGTATATCTAGCTAGACTATATTTTAGGTGCCCGCATTGTCCCTGTTCTATGAAAAGGCCGAAACGGATTTAATGAAACAAGCCCCCAAGATGAATGATGATTTCCTCATAAATCGGCGGTAAGCAGTGGTTTATTTGCGGTAGACATATTCGATAAATATCAGAGCAATAATCTATCTGGCAGGCTCCTTTTTGTGTCGTACTTTCAAGTGGGGGTCATCGAGGCCTTTGCAGCAATGACGTCATACTTTATTGTAATGTCAAGCGCTGGATTTTTTCCCGAAACCCTCGTTGGCCTGGGCATAACGTGGCTCGATGAGGCAATCAACGATATCACAGACTCTTATGGCCAAGAATGGGTTTGTATTCCAATATAATATAGAAGTATCCATTTCTATTTCCTCAAATCCCAGACGCGCGCGGCGCGCCTCAATCTGGAATATTTGGGTGCTGCGGCCTTTCTTATGGCCATTGTCATCTTACAATCTATTAACCTGTTTTTAGTGAGGACGGGACGAACGAATTTGTTGTACCATGGTTTCAACAATCACTTATTGAACATCTTAGCCATCGCTATGATCTGCCTCGGCTTCGTCTTGTGCCTAATAGATATGCCGCAGTACTTTTGCCTACGGCCCTTTGAAGAGTAAGTTCGGAATGTTATGGGGCTGGCCATTTCAACTTTTATTTCATAATTTCAATGATTTCGCATTTTGCAGCTTCGATTGCATTTATCATGTCATACCTTTCGGTATATTACTCGTTATTGTTGAAAGCGTGCGGCGTTACTTCCTACGCTCCCATCCCGGAGGTTGGCTCGAAATGGAGACTTACTACTAATTGCATACATCCAAATATTTTAAAGGCATTTGATATTTTTGATAGTGAAATGAAATAAAAAATAGTTGGCTCCACAAGTTACGCAATTTTATATATCAAGATATGAATTTGATATGTGCAATATGTATGTACCTATCGAGGATTAATCTTCTGGAAAGTCGGCAGAGGATTTGCATTTTTTGTGTATTTCTTTGTTATTACAATTGAGATTCAGAAGCGAGTCTAAGCGTGTCTACTTGTTGCATGTTTTAGAAATTTACAAGAAGATCAAATAATACCATACCTACAAAAATTCTAAAAGGTTTTTATTCTTACAAGTATTTTGACAATCTTTACAAATATTTGCAATTATCTAAAACAAAAGTGGAAAAAAGAGAATGAAATATTTTATTTTTATTAATTCAAATATTTAACTAGCTTAAGCTGCCATATATAGCAGAATACTGGTTTATAAATTGTATATACCTTAATATATAAATGAAAAAATAATTCCATTCTCTTGTAAAAAAAAAATTAAATCAATCAAAATTTATGAAATTATAATGACGTAATCGGCAATAACTATTCTTTTCAAAAGGAAGAAATATTATAAGATATATAAATGATTAGATATACAATATAAATCCAATTCGCATCTTATACAATTTAAACAACTTACTGGCAAATGGAAGCAAATTTTCTTCAAAGGAAAATTTGATCAAATATAATTATATATAATTTTTATTTATAGAAGCACCTGGAAACAAAAGATTCGTCTCTCTTCAGATTTGAATGAATCCGTGTTCACTCTATTTGTTCACAGTTCACTTTCAAACACTGTTACTATCAATTCCGGCTTACATTCCATTTCAATTAAATGTCTATTAATTGCATTAAATGGCTTTAGCATCACTGCCTCTAAAGAGGAATCTTAATATTGTAGATCAGACTGGTTAGTGATACGTTCTTCTTGTAGAATAAAAATCGAACTTAAAATTCCGTAATGCCAGTCTCCTCCATTATCCAAGCCATATGACTAGTCAGGCGCGTAAAGCCCACTGGAACGCCTGCCAGGCAACCATTGGAGCTGGCAAAGGACACCACGCCGATGAGTCTACCCGTAGAGTTGAGCATAAGGGCGCCGCCTGCATCGATCATGCATGCCGATTCGTTAGCTGGTGTCGCGACACACAGAGTGCTCTCAATGATGACCTCGGGGCTGTAGCCGGCTTTAATGCATTCCTCATTGCTGATGACCTGTCGCTCGATGGGTCCACTATCCCTATCATGGGGCCACTCGAAGCCAAACGCCCAGGCTCCGTTGAACGTATTGTCCGCCTCCCCGGGAAAATCGCGTCTAAGCATTTGAATTGTGCTCAGCTGTGTTCCAAAAACTATACGCGGCACTCTGATCAGTGCTATATCGTGATTGTAGTGGCTATTAAAGCCTGAGTGCTGGTGATAGTAGGTCTTATGCACATTGAAGACGATCCGAGGATCCTGCCGCACCACCTCCACACCTTCGCTTCCATTCGTGCAGTGGGCTGCAGTCAGCACCCACAGGGCATCTATAATGGTGCCGACACAGAACCAACCCCGATCCGCATGATTAAAGTTCAATGCGACCATATAGGGCTCTTCGACTGTATTGCCATGGAAGGTTTCGCCATTGGCCGAATAAATTTCTGTAATAGAGCGCGCCTTTAATGAGCTCGCCCTGCTCAAGGGGGCCATATAGAGTATAGATATGACCAGAAAGTTGCTAACAAATACCCGCATAGCCCGTTACTGAAGCCTCCAAACTAGAAACTAATACCGATTGGCTGGCTTACTTATATAGTCTGAGCCACGATGAGCAGCTGTTTTGCTAATAAGGTCTGAAATGTGGTTTTAAAAGCGACAGGAATTCCATTTTATTAAATGGGTTAACTTTTTTGTGCTAAATAAATCCCACTTCAGTGTGTTCGTTTAGTTTTCAACGTACAACGTACAAAATTTTTTCTAGAAATAAAACTGTGCCATATTGTGAGAAATTCGCTTGAACAGAAATAAGTTAATTATAGGAAAAAATACGAATAATGCAGCTGAGGAGCACTTTCTATAATATTACATAAATCTCACATACTTGTATTCTGGAAATTCGTCATATATATTGGTTGGACTCTTGATAGTTTCTTGATAGGTCTATAGACATATAACACAATCAAAAATGTTAATAGAATTTATGTGATAATCAATCAATATGATGAACAGTTGGAGACGCGAGTTTACTTATTTAGAAAAAAAAAAAAATCTAATATATACATCTGAAAATAAAGATTTTGAAAGCTCAATATAAAATTATAGAAGATAGAAAACATTTCTATTTTAAGTTAAAATTGTAGGTATATTACAATTTAAAATATTTTGTAAAACAGCTATAAAATATTTTCATTTAATAACACAAAATTGTAAATGTAAGGTAATTGAAATTGAAAGCATATGTTTAAATAAATGAATAATATAAAACAATAGTAAAATAATAAATACAAGTAGCTTATATATTTTGAGAAAAGATGCAAGCGAAAGATCCACGAGAATATTTTCAGAGTAAGCAAAAACAACGTCCTTAATGTAGGAAGTTAGGACTAAACAGCAAGTGACAAAATGTTTACATAAATAAATAGAATCAATCAGCTGTTGGACATAAAAATAAATATAATTAAATGCAGTTGAAAACAGAAAATAAATGAACAACAATTTGGCCACACGAGCTAATTTCTGAACTAAAGTATTTATCGTTTGTATTTCAATTCAATTGGTAAACAAATATTATTGAAATATTTAACTTACAATTTCTTAACACATAAAGATAAAATTTCGACAATTACTTCACGCGTCAGTAAATACGTGATAACTTAATCTATAATTTGAAGTATTTTGTGTCGATTATTATCATATTTGTGATTTTTGCTGACGCACATGATATGTGCAAAATTTTTTGAAGATTGCAGTACAAATAAAAAGTGAGGGTGCGGCGATAATGGAAGTATTATTCGAGCGATCATTGAATTTATAAGACAAAGACCTCAATTCAGTGTTCGTCGTTATCAATTCCGATAAAGTGTATTTTAATTAAACAAAAACTGCCGAACCATAAAAATGATTTTAATTACTTTTGACCAGTTTTGCAAAAGAGCGCCTCTATTTGTGTTATTATTTATTTCGTCGACAAAAAAAAAATAAATATCTAAACTAATATTATAAAGAGGAAAGATTTGTATGTTTGTTCGTATGTTTGTTTGTTTAATTGTTTGAATTGAAAAGGCTCCGAATCTACTGGACCGATTTAATGGATTATTTCACTGTTGGGAAGCCACACTATCGAAGGTTAACATTGGCTATATTATATTTGCAAAAAAGAATGGAATCCTTACTAAAACGCCAAACGGTCTGACCTAACCAAACCAAATGGTTAGGCTTTGTTCGGACTATTTAGTATCTGGTTTATGTGAAGTTTGCACAAAATCTGTCGAGCGGTTCTTCATTTATCACACTTTTTCTAACAAATGAATTCAAGAAATGGCGGATCATTTTGTTAATGGGGATTTTGCTGTCAAATTGAAACTTTTTTCAGATGGGCATTGTGTCTGTTCCGGAGTCGGTCCCCCCAGCCGTTCGTTTATTCATGCTCAAAATGGAAAAACAAAAAATATTGTTTATCCAAATGTTTTGGAATAAGTTTTCAAATACCTAACAATTAATAAAATATTTTTTTGTTTGAATAAATGAATTTGAGGTTCCAATTAATTATTTTTATTCATTATATATATATGATTAATACGTATAAGCTTTGTCTATAATTGCAAAACTAACATTCAATTATCTCCCCTTCTCTATTTGCAGGTAAGTTACGCCACTCTGCACTCCTGGTCCGTAATTCAAATTAATGTGAGTAACCCCCCCATACAACAAGTTTTTTATAAGATCACAGAACTAGAGTTTTTTATTGCGTTGAAAGCTATCCCGCTGGCAAGCAGCCCGCTTGCCTTCTTCCCTATTTAGCCCGATGAGCATTGCTGCAGCTGTTGCCCTCGCACTAACCGAAAAATTATGAGCTTCAAATTTAATTTTGCTGCATTTTGCACAACATTCTGGTGTTGCTTTTATGGTTTATGAAGTGCTGCAAAAATATTCTCAGATATGCGCCAAAAATACTATAAAAACAGAAATAATAAAGAACACAACACAATAAGACACCAAGGACATTCTCTGTGTGTGTGTGTGTGTATGTGTGTATGGGTTCTGTTTGCTGAATCAGCAAAGCGTCGAAGGAACGAAAGGAGCGTAAGATGAAAGCGCTGGAGTAAACAGCAGTCACAAAAAGGGGAAAAAAAGTAAAGCAAGAGAAAAAGAAAAAAAATGGAAACGTGGCCACTGTTTGGGTTGACGGGCACTGGCACGGGCACGGATTGGAGTTGGAGTCGGAGTCGGAGTTGCAGCTGCAGCCACTTGAAACAAACAACATGCAAAAGGATTTTCGTCGATTTTCGAGTGTTGTTTGCCACATGTGCGCGCTTTCCGTATAAACATTTTCCTCCTTTTTCTCTTTCTTCTTTTTTTTTTGCAATGCTTGGCTACTTTTTCTTTGTCAGCCATTTGGCAGGATTGTTTTGTATCGTCCTTTGGCTCCGTTCTAGTGTAGTGCTCAGTGGCATTTATTGTTTTTTTGTTTTGCTTCTTTTTTTTGGCAACAGTTTTTGCATTTGTATGCCAGTTGCCAGTTGCCGCTGTCGCACTTACGCGTACTCAGCATTTTTAACAGTTTATTTGGCCAAGGCATGAAACAACTAGCCATCCGGCTGGGAAGCTGGTTGGGAGTCGCTTGTTGACTGTTTGCAGTTTGTCTGCCAACTCGAAGGCGGTTTGGCTGGCCATTCATCTGAGATATATCGTGTAGTGTAGCGTTGGTCGCTAAAGCTCTTCCGGTTTGCTTTACTGCCACTGTTTGATTGCATATTGAATTGAACATCTCACTTCTTAAATGTACCTGGTACTCAACACTTTGATCCTTCTTGCAGCAGCAGTTCTGAGCACATAACGTGCAAGAAATGTATTC